ACTTTGTAATAAAAAAAAAATATTATTACCAACAATAATTTTTGAAGGAAAAAATTATCAGCAGCAATACTTAATACTAGTAGGCATAGAATCCCCAATATTCACTACATGCCAAGAGAAATTTACAGTGAAACATATACTGTTAGAGTGTGGAGATTTTGATTGAGTGCGAACAAAATATTACCAAGTGAGTAATTTAAAAAACTTTTTTTATGAAAATAAAACCATCCAAGATTGTAAATTTCATAAAAGAAGTCAGATTGTACTAAAAAACATGAGTAATTGAAAAATGGTCCAAATATATACGTATACATACACACCTTTTTTTACCAAACTATCGCTATGAAAATATTTCAAAAATTTTGTTGGCATTAAATGACCCACTGAGGTTGATATATCATAAAACAAAACCAACCAACCAACATCCATAATTCACAGGCTTGTATATCTGATTGTCAAAATTTTACAGTAAGAACTCTTTGCCATCTGTCAAAAATTAAAGCTGTAATTGTTTCTGTTGTGGATTCAGGGATGAAATCCGGTCTCAAATGAATGACAAATGCAGGAATGAAATATAATAAATAAATGTATTGACATAATAATACAATTGGTAATGCGGTTAGTAGCAGTAATAATATATATATACAGTCTGGGAAATTCAGTATCGAAGTATGACTTCCTTCTGAGTCTATGTGCTCGCAACTGTGACTCCTACAAAGCAGTTACCTCACACTCTCATTCTCTCACTGTATCACTTCCAGGTATTCACCAGCAGCAGTACAAGTATACACTGGGCGAGTCCACTTGTATAAAAAAGGGGTGGACCCCTTAAGTTTCATTTTAATTTCACCCACTCTAAGGCTCGAGAGCTACCCAATCCAGAATGGTAATGCTGTTTGAAGTGTGTAATATAAATGGAAGAGATAGTGATAGGAAATGAAGATTATGAGGATAAGGACGAAATATATACAATTGATCTTTGACTTGAAGAAATCTGGATTGAAATATCCAGTGGAATAACCATGCAGGACCCTGTTCTACAAAGTGACAGCTTCTTATGTTTGAAACACAAGAAATGAGAATGATTCAACATTGTGGCATTGTCTGTTCTAGCTTAAAGGCTTACAAACATATCACGTTGAAACACCAGTTCTTGTATGATCAACAAAGTTAAGTAACATTGAGCCTGATCAGTATCTAAATAGGTAACTATCTGGAAATACCACTTGGATGTGCAGATGGAGTAGTGGACAATGACTCAGAATTGGAGATCGGGAGAGCTGAGTTTCAATTCCAGTCAGATTCATTCTATTCATTTATGTGGAAATACCCTTTGGGAAAGATATGAATTCAGCTCTTATCCCCACCAGCTATGGGTTAATTAGTGGGAATTGTATGAGTAAATCATTATTATCTCCAAGACATTCTCACAATATAAAAATATTTCTGGCTGTAAATAACTTGCAAAGATTTGATAAGCTGTATAAAAGAAATCAATCAATAAACCTGACTGTAAAAGTCTGAACTGGGGCAACTAAAGAAGGGATGTCATCTGAACATTTGCCGTGGAAATAGTGATTGATTAGTGACAGGCTTGTACTGTTGCATCTGTGGGAAAAACATTGCAGAGTGGGGGGGGAAAAAAACAAAAAAACAAGTAAACAATTTTGAATTATTTTAAGGCTGGAAAGTGAGGATTGAGTTGATCCAGCCCAGATATGGTGGTAATAATCCATTTTTAGTCTAACCTGACTCTTACAGTATTTACATTAGTCGGACTGTTGTCCTCCTCTTTGTCGCTATATTTGTCACAATGTTTCGCCGTTGTGCGCTCGCCTTCTTCAGGTGGTTGGAATTTCGAACTGAACCCTTTATTTCGATCACTGGGGTAGACTGTTCTAGTTCCACGTGCCATGTTTGATGGATGTCAGTTATCAGTTATCTCCTGCTAATTTTCCCTCTGAAAGTTCTCCACTAAAATTCCAACCAGCTGAAGAAGGCTGGAGCGTACAACGGCCGAAACGTTGTGACAAATATGGCGACAAAGATGAGGACAATAGTCCGACTAATGTAAATACTGTACATAATTCCTCATCTCAGAAATATAGACAGACTAACCTGACTCTTGTAAAGATAAAGCATGGCACGTGTCAGATGCATCTTAAAGTGATAGAATGAGCCAGCCATTAGCAATGGATCATATATATGAATTCCAGTTGATATTTAAAATGGTAAGGAATATTTATGAAAAAAAAACCAAAACTATAATTACATTTTTTTTTTAATGCCATACCCTTTCAGAATGTAAATGCTCATGGTTTTCCATACCTTCCTTTTATTTAATATCTATAAATTGTCATAACTTCTTGGAAAATATAGTGGCATCACTTTCCTTTTTTTTCTTTTTTGATAGTAGTCCTGCTCCTAGACTGGTTGCCACTCAAAGATAGAGAGGCCCATATACACTGCTATTTAACCCATATTTTGGAGAAGAATAAATGTATTCATACCTTTCCCAAAAGCAATAGTGTGTACTGAATGCAACAGACTAGACCAGAACTTGAACTCAGGCTGCTAATTCAATTTTTTGTGCTGATGGTCATTCTGATATCTGAACCTTCATGTAATTATGCTGTGTCCCTTCAGGATGCGAACATTAATTTTGCCTGTTCATCATCCTTCCCAATCCATTTACACAAACTCGTTAAGTCATGAACTGTTTTCTTCTGTCCCTCTTTTCAATTTTGTCTTTTTGTTTCTCCCAAACCCTGTTCTGCCATCCATTTACTCAAGTTCACTAAATATGTTATGCATTGTTTTCCTCTGTCCCTCTTGTCTTCAATCAGCCCTGTGGATATCAGATTCTCCAAGTCTTCTTTCCTCATTATGTCTATTAAAAATTTTTAATTTCTCTTTCTGATTTTAAGTATAAATGTCCTTTTTGTTTGCATTTTCCATAAAACTTACTCACAAATTCAATTCATGGTATTCTCAGCATCCCTCTGTAGACCCTCATTTCTGTTGCCTCAAGTTTATTGATATTAATTTCTTTTTAAAAATATTTTAGCATTATTTTGATTTTTAATAATAGTTTAATCATTTTTAAGTTTCCAGTTTTTATGAAATTTTGACACAAATTTCAGCCCCTTCATATTTATATTAATTAAAAACAGGATTCCTTGGAGAATTTAAATGATGAATTTGTTTTTACCAAACAGAAACACAATTTACTGAAGATCTACTCTGAATTGTAAAATAAAAAATGCTATAAAATTAGGACATTGTTTAATTAGAAAAGGTTTTAAATAAGTTATATTATGGATACTACTGTCTTAAGGAAAAAAGATTTTTGGATGAATGATGAATTTTTACAAGAATTTTCATTTTTTTAAAATTTTAATTAAAAAACTTTATCAAGTTTTAAATCTTTTAAAATTCTATATTAATTTCAACGTTTTAGATGATATTATTATTAAGTGAAAACTATATTTATTCAAATAAAGATTCAGAAAAGTATTTTTTATTTTTGGGAGATTTTTTTAATAAAGAGATTTATATTATGATCAAAGGCAACTAAAAAGGGAGCTTATCAGCTATTTCAGCAAAAAAAATCTCCTTCAATTTAAATTAGTCTTTAAAATACAGCAAAGCATTTTGATTATTGGAAATATTATATTTAATCTATTAGCTTGAAATTAAATCTAAAATAGAAGCTTCAAGAAAGATTTTTCATTTTTAAAAATAATTTTAAACCATACGAATTGCATTTTTTTGTAAAAGTCCCGACTTAACATATAATTAATTGCATTATAAGATTATTATGAATGATTTCAACTTGAATTTAAACTTTGTCCAAGTGCTTCCTGATGTAATCTTTTTGTGTTTTTATTTTGTTTTATATAGTAAAATTTTATGAAAATACTGGATGATGGCAAAGAAGTTGGGGAAATGTAGGCTTATGTCTATCGCAATGGCATTAGTGTGAATATAAACAATCTCAATTAGAATTTATACTCAGTCTGACAGTTTTGTTTTCTATACTAAAATTTTTTCCAAACACTGGGTGATGATGAAAGTGACAAGAAAAAGTGGGTTTATGCCTTTCTATAGTCATTATTGTGAAGTGAACATAGACATTCTCAGAAAGAGTTTGAACTTGATTTATTGATTTTATATTAGGTTTCCATGATTTTTATATCAATAAAGACATAAGATTCTATTCATTGGTAAGATACTTTCGATCATTAATCTGTGGTTTGAATGATTAAAATGTTCCAAAAAGTGGAATTTAATTTCAAATTTCACTGGAAGCTGCTAGTTTCTTAATTTTCTGTGCTGCTTGAAGCGTATATTGATCCAGACTGTTGGAATAAAAAAAAATAAGGCAACAATAAGATCAAGTTAAACCACTCTTGAAATAATAATCATGAAATAGCCTTATTAACAGAAACAATAATGTGTTTTATACTCTGTGTAAGAAACCAGAAAATGCCTAAAGCCAATGTTAAAAAGCTTAGGGAGAAATTTAAGTGATCTATTTTACATGCACAACATTACCATTCTCCCAAGATTATAACATATCTCACCAGCCCAGATGAATTATTTTCATACTGGCTCATAAAGTGAGCTGGGGGTGGAGGTAATGTTTTAAGAAAGCAAATCATCTGCACTCTACAACCAAACAAACCCTCTTTTCCTGATACTACCCAATACATTGATAAGAAGTGATAGAAATCCAAACCTACTGTGGCCAGTTCTACTCTAAAGTAGAAACATGTTCAGTTGCGATTATTCTTTGATCTCTCTTGTAGTCGGGTGGTACTTGTGCAATGGCCACTATCACCTCCTCCATCTTCCACGTCCCGGTATCTATGTCAAAACTGAGATATTCACTTAGTGTAATCTTCTCTCTTGCAGATGTAAGTATGCTTCAGTGCCTTCTCTGAATATACTTTCAAGGCAACAAGAAGAATTGCATCTTGTCCCATTTTGTACAAATGATGAGGAAAGTCTTCCTAGACGTCTGTTCCTATGTCCTTCTGTCCATCTATCCCTCAATTGGCTCTGTTGTCTGTTCTTTTTCTTTTCTGTTTTGGCCTGAAATATCATTTTCTAGCAGAAAAGAAGATAGTGGGTTTGAATGGCGGGCGGGATTTGTAGGGTGGTGGATAGGATTTGTTGAGTCGGTGGCAGTTGGGTGTAGTGAATCATAGGCTGGAACAGAAGAAATCAAAGAGAAGTAATGAGTGCAAAGAAAAGATTTATTCAACATCTATTGTGTGAGTCTACGGCGTGCTGATTAATTTGTGGTGTTGTTTAAGAAGGTTGGGAAGAAGGAAAGAGATAAAAAAGAAAACGGTGAAAAAAAAAAAAACCCCAAAAAAACAAATAAATAAAAATAATGAACTGATGAGAGAGGAAGAATAAAAAAAAGTTTTGCTTAAGTCCAGACTGATCCTGAGTTTATCCAAGATGAAGATGACTAAACTCATTTCAGTATGTCAAAATCTCAGGAAAAGTTTCTATGAATTATTTTAACATTTTTTTCTTTTATTTCTGTTTCTTCCATTTTTTTTTTCCTCTCATTTGGGTTTCATTTATTCTATCATTCTCTGTATTATTTTGTTTATTTCTTTGTACTTTTTGCATCTTTCTTCTCTTCCCCCCCATTTTCTAAGTTTATTTTTTCTTTCTTTTATTCATTTTCACCACTAAATATTTTTCTTTCAGGTTTTTAAAAAAAATTCTGTTCATTTACATTCTTTCATTTTTTTTTTTATTTTAACTACAATTTTTAATTCATTCTTTTTTTCACTCACTTTTAATGTTTTTTTCTATATTCCTGCTTCATTCATTAGTTTATTTTACTCTTTGTTGCTGCTTTCATTCTAACCATATCTTCCTTCTTTAAAACCTTCTTTCCTCTCATTTTCTACTTTTATGTCTCCTTACTTATTCTTTCTTTTTCCTACTTCTTCAGGTCTATTCTTCTTGCCATTATTCTTTTATTTCTTTTTGTTTTATTCTTTCATTCACCCTTTCTTTTTCTTGTCATGACGTCTGTTCCTTTTCTCTTTTCATCTTGACACTTTTTTCTTTACTTCTTTCATTTTCTTACAACCTTATAG